ACAAGCAACACTTGTTTTAAGTATGACGCAGAATGAAACCAACAGAACCTAGTTTCTCTAATCAGAAATACAGTTTGGACAGTCTATAATGAGTGTTACTGTATGTTCTTTAAATGCACATCAATAAGATGCTCCTTCAAGAGATTTATTTTTATATCTTTCAGTCGCAGTCACTGGTTTGAGGAAGCTGTTCCCCATTCCTCATTTTTGGGAATGAAATTTCAAAGAGGCTTCTTCAGGGTGAGTATCATTTCAAGTCACTTCAATACATTTTCATATGATCAAGCCTTCAAGAAGTCTTTGGTGAATTTGCTGGTGCTGTGTGTCACCATCACATTGAATGGTTCATTTCTGCTTCAGCTTTACTGTTTTTTTTTTGCAGATGGTCTCACATTTTCCATAAACACAATTTGACACTTGGGAAAAACCTGGTCTAATTCAGAGAGACTGCAACCATTCTACTTTGGATGGTGAGCTCTTCTTTCTAGCAACCTGGCAAAATGTATTTTTCCAGGCTTTTATTTGTCCTCCAAAACCCTGACAGCCCAGGGTGCTGACCAGGAAGCAGAGCCGTAGTTTAACATATTTGCACCTTCTCTACCTGCCCATCACCTCACTCTGAAAGTGTCTTCACCATGGCCAAAATTAAAAAAGAATTTTTCCTAAAGAAAAAAATTATGCTAATCTTATTAAAATGAACATGACTGCAATAGAGAAAGAAAGTTAATCCAATCAAACGTGGCCTACTTAAGATAATAATGACTTGATTTGTGATAATCAGATTGATACATAATGTTTTACAGAAACCTGGTTGCAACAAGTGGATTATGTCAGTATAAATTAAGCAACTTCGGTTATAGTAGATGATAGAGCTGTTTTTGTTTTTAGTGTTTAGTCCTGTGTCTCTCCTTAACATAGCTATGGGCTCAGCTTTTACAGTGACCAACAATATGTGCTCCCTTTCATCCATTTTGACATTAAACTTTCTCAGTCATCATCTACTCTGGTACTTTCCTAGCAGAGATGGCGAAAGTACTCACTTTCTATACTTGAGTAAAAGTACAGATACTTGTGTTAAAAAATACTCTGGTAAAAGTGGAAGTACTGATTAAACTTCTTTACTCAAGTAAAAGTAACAAAGTACAGGCTTGTAAATGTACTTAAAGTATAAAAGTAAAAGTAGAAACCACTTTTTTCATGCCGTTGCCTACATTTTAAATGGATGTCTGCCGATAGGACTAGATCTCCGTTGTGTTCATTTTCAATCATCTCGTCGTCCATGCTACTATGCTAACGCCACCGCCACCAAGCTGCAATGATTTGCCGCCAATGAATACCGCCGAATCTGTCGATTCATCTTGTAGTGGTGCGTCAAATGCAACGTAGATTCCCATCCAATTAGATTGAATTTGGTATTGATGACGTGAAAAATAATAACGGTAACTCCATTGAAATGATTCAAAACTAAAGTAACGAGACAATTTTTTAAAATGTAAGGAGTAGAAAGTACAGATATTTGTGTAAAAATGTAAGGAGTAGAAGTAAAAAGTTGCCATAAAAATAAGTAGTAAAGTAAAGTAAAGTATCAGAAAAATCTACTTGAGTACAGTAACGAAGTATTTGTACTTCGTTACTTCCCATCTCTGTTTCCTAGACAGAGTTACATTTTTTAACATAGACACTATTTATAGGTCATGCTTCTGTTTTTCTTTTTTTGTCTGCTTATGTCTCTGTGGACCCTCGGTGGGCTTTGTCAGAAGGACACTTACACTGAGTCTGGTTCTCCTGGGTTTTTTTTCCTGTTCAAAGGAAATTCTTTCTTCTTCACTATTGTTGCATGCATACTTGTTTTGAGGGATTACTGTCGTATCAACAACACCATGTAAGCAAATACTGTTGCCACATGTTCATCTAGGAAGAGATTAAACTTGTTTTCAATCTGACTGTAAGACTTGATTTAATTGTGTCTGTAAAGCACCTTCAGATGAAATGCATTGTGATGCTATACAAATAAAGGGAAAAACTGAAATCATATTATACTATTAGAATACGAGATGCTGCACAATGCCCTGAATCATTAAAGTTCTGTATTTCACAGTTCAGATGCAGGTACTTTGGTTCTTCTAGTGGGTTTCAACATAAACAGCAAATCAATTCAAACTTGTCCAGATCTTTTTTTTTTAATTGTGGGGTCATGCACTTCTACTGCACTTGTCACAAAATTAGCACTTGTGACAGTTATAAAGTTTTTAGAGACTACATTTAGCATCTTGCTATGTCCTTCAAGGGTTAATTTTCTTTGAACAGTAAAAGCTTGGTATTTGGACAGCTAATTGTCATGTTACTAATTTGTACTTTTTTCATGCAGTGAACGTTCCTTATTTCACGGTTTTATACCCATTTAGATTCTTTACGAAACTCATAGGCTGCTAAAATCTTCTCTCTTAATGCCTCAGATAATCCCCCTTATCTTTCTGAGGTGATCACTCTCTTTTTTAACAATCAGGAGAAGACTAAAACTAACTGTCTATGCTTCAAACTGTGAAAACCTTGAAAATACTTGCACCTGACATAATATACCTGTTTTAAAGGTTAATCATTTTAAGTGGGTATAGAAGAATAAGGAGAATAAGGCTGTCATAGTTTGTTTTAGAAAGAAATAGATTTTTGCAAATAATTTTCAAACTATGTTGTTGTATATTTGTGGTTTATTTGTATTACTTAAATTTTTAGTATGAGTTAGAATGATAACAAAATATGTCTTAATATTTCTAACAGCCACATTGGCTGTCACAGGGTAAATTTATAGTGAGATAAAATTAATATCAGAGTAAAAAATTATGACCTCTGTGTTGGGTGCACTCAGTTTTAATTAAGTGTTTTGGGTATATTATACTTAAACGGGTTTTAATTTGTGAACTAACCTGAAAATAATGTTACTTTCACCCAACCTTATCAATATCCCCTTTCTCTAGTTGACCATAGCAAATACAAGTAAAGTTTGTGATTGTAATATTAAAAGAGGATAAAAGGTTCAAAGGGTTTAAATCATAAAGCACAGAATATCCAAATAAAACAACTTTTTCTATTCCTGCTCAAGTCAAGGTTAGTGCCTGTTCATATCTCCATCTCCTGCAGGATCCCATTTTGTACGCATTTATGTAACAAGATAAAGTTATCAAGACTTTATTTCATCTTTAACTACAGTACTTCCCTGCAGCTGTGGCTGGACGGCTCATCCTCCTGCTGGGATGGACGGATTCCCTTCATCTCCCTCTACTGTTTTCCTCAGCATTTTTTTTTCTTTAGAACCCATTGTTTTCAAGGCTCCAGTTATTTTCTTTCAAAGCAAAAGTCTTCCTCGGATGAAAATCTGCCACACAAGCATTTTCAGAAACACAGAGATTGCCTGCTCACCCTACTTCTGAAAATTTGACATGTCTGTGTTCCTCTGTTGATCAAATTTATTTATGCACATATAATTGAGAGAGAAATGAAAAAAAATGTTTTATGTCTGCACTGTCATGGTTTCCTCTAACCAAACGGAGATAGAGCTGGAGTCTTGCAAAACTAGTCATTCTGCTAAAACTGTTCACATCTCCTAACGTCAAAGGTGCAAAAGGTTTTTTAATGGGATAATTGTAAACTGGAAGGGAAAGGGCATAAAATGATTTTACAACTAAAACTTTAACTGTAGGGCATGCATATGCATAGAGCCCCTTTTCTCTGACTAACTCTTACTAACAGTAAACCCAAACAAGTAAAGTACACTAGACAAAATAAAATTATAGCCAAACTTTTGTATCATGCATTTGACCAAGTAGTTTAACTAGGAATTCTGGGTAACCCAAAAAGCATTATATGCATAACTTTGAAGATATGGAAATACATTTAATGTAACATATATTTTACTCTCAATATTAGTTATTTGAAGTAAGGCTCATTTTACTTTTTTGTCTTCCAGATTTTAGTTTCATTACACAAGTACAGAGAAAAGAAATGAACTCTCTCCCCTTGGGGTTCAGTGGGTTGCCATTGTGCGGCGCCCGGGGAGCAGTGTTAAGGGTCTTTGCTCAGAGATCTAACCACTAGGCCACCACTTTACTTTAATACAACTTCTGAAAAGTACCTTTAATTTCCATGAATGGTAAAAATAATAATAAAAAAAAAAAAATCATATTTTATCCAAAAATGCAACGAGACATTGGGTCTGTAAACTAACTTGAGTTTGTAAGCAAACAAAATACAGTAAACAGTAACTACTGTCATATCTATTATCTTTTTATGTTTACTTTTACAGTATTTATATCGTCGCCATCGCCAGATCTAGTTTTCAGAAGTTTCATTGTTGTGGAAAACTGGACATGTGTCTATATTCAGCTCAGAATATTTTATTTATTCATTTTTTTATTTATGTGATTCCTTTTTTAATAGTTTTGCAGCTAATAAGTCCAGAGTACCAGAATCAGTCTATATTTAATAATTTCACATAAAATGACATAATTTTAACAAACTTAATTGGATTAAACAGTCTCCAGTTTTAAAGAGGCATTTCCACCAAAATCGTTTAAATCTAATGAATACAGTTTTATGTCTTTTTTACCTCTACTTGGTAAATAATGAAGTTGTGTTATCCTTTCATATATGTTTGCATACTTTACACACCTCTTTTGATAAGTCGGAAAGTGCAAAACATTTTAAAAGTATTAGAACTTTTGACCAGGAATGCATTTGAGGCTTGGGTCTTTTTCTCAGCATTTGAGTTGCAATATATTTAATTAAGATAGTTATAACATAATAAGAAATAGAGAGAAGTTAAAAAAAAATGTTGGCATAACTCTTATGTAAAGAAAATGAGAATGATGAAAAATTATCCTCCTGGCTACATTTACTAAGATTGCTGTCTGCTCCTTGCCTGAGTATGTTTGAAACCCCACCTCTCCAGAGTTGTCCTCTCCAAACCCCTCCTCTACACTTTTCTCTCAGTCTATAGCCGAGGAATCCCAGGCAGCATTTAATTGCAGAGTGCAAAGGCTTTTAGTTGGGCTAATGAGCTCAGCACCAGAGTCGAGGCGTTTCCACGCGCCCTCTGAGCAAACAGAAAACCTCATGGAGTCCTTCACAAGAGGAGCCTCACATGACGACTGGATTTCAGGTGGAGGGGAGAGGGGGGATTCTCAAATAATCCAGGTACTGTCGACTATGTGAGAGAATATACCAGAGGCAAGAGGCATTAAGAGGTGGAGAAAGGAGAGGCAGAGAGGGGAGGGGAGAAGACGGGAAATACTCTGCCAGAGAGAAAGAGAGAGAGAGAGAAAGAGAGACTGAACGCCTGCAGCAGCAAATGAGACAGAACAACGAGGCGGGAGAGGTAGAAAGAGAGACAGAGAGGGAGGGAGGTGGAGAGGGGCCCCGTCCTGGAGAGAGGGCTGTAGGGTGGCCAAAGAAGAAGGAACGAGAAAAAGTTAGGGTTGGGAAGTATGTAAAGTCAAGAAGGTTTGAGGGAAGTGTGCATGCAAGATCAACAGTTATAGCAGAAAAGAAAAGGGGAAACAACAGACAGGAAGGAAGGGGAGGGAGGAAGGAGTCTTGGGTTGAGTGTTAAAAAAACAGAAAGAGAAAAGTTTTCTTGTGGGGAGACGTAGATGAGAAAAACAGTGAGCAAATGATTGGGCAGGAGTGAGCTCGGAAAGGAAACAAGGAAACAAGTTTTTTTTTTTTTTTTTACGACGTTTTCTATTCAAGTCTACTGCCCAGTTTGGACATGTACACAGAAGACTCAGAAACGACGGGACACCACCAATTTTTTAACTACAACAACTCAAGCAGCCTCTGCCCCTGCCGACACTGCATCTACTATGACCAGCTGCATGGGTATCAGCAGAAAGCATGGGCACGGAAAAAGGACCACTCATCTTTGGGCCGCTGGAGAGAACCCCAGGCTCCATGGGTTAAAGATGTCGGAGGCAGCACTTTCTTGGTGGACAGAGTTGAAAGAAGTGGTCATTTCAGCCCACAGAGGAGGCCTGTGTTTGCAGGGCCGGGCCCTTGCAGCCAGTCGGATGACTTGAGTCAAGCCTCCCCCTGGGAGATGAACCCTGCCCAGTGGGGCGACCCGGCGGAGCCTAGGGTGAGACAGTATTCATTTGTGAAAGAACAGTGTGGCTGTGTGGCAGACAGTGAAAGAGCACGCCCCTTTCACTCTGGGATACCCCACCCTCTCCCTCATCTTCAGGTCAAAGGTCAAGGATACAGTCTAAGGCGGGCTGTCAGGTATATCACGGTGGATGAAGAGGAGAGCTTTGGGTGTGCTCCTAATGGCTATCATTTGGACCTGCACCATCCCCAGCCGGTTCATTCGCACATGACAAACGGCCACTGTGGACCGAGGCGTGTGGTCTTTGAGGGAGAAGAGGAAAGAGATGGCTATCTGGACCAGGGCAGACCAAAGGGTGGATCAGAGGACTATTTTAATGACTGTAGTGAGTCTGATAAAGGCTTCTTCCCAACTGAAGTTCCTCAAAAGCACTGGACCCAAAGAAGACATAAGGGATCTGATAGGGGATCCGACATTGCCTCCTCAGAAATCTCCAAAACGACAACCAAGAATGACCTTCACAGCAACGGTTCCGATGTGTCGAGGCAAAGGGGGCGACAGGAGTCGGTGAGGGATCAAATCCGGCAAGTCGTAACAGATCTAGAGGAAGTGTTGGGGGGTCTGAAGCAAGTTCACGTGGAAATGAAAGAGGTAGGAAGGTCTGTAATTAAAGACATTTAATCCTCTGGGTGCACCTCAGGTGTCCAATCACGGAGGACTGCATCTGCTGCAGATGCCTTCGCTTTTTATCTATTGTCTCCTGGCTACAGTGACATTTAGAGTGATTATCACAAAGCTCAGAGGCTAAAAAAAAAAAAAGAATCTGCCGCTGTGCAGTGCAGTATGACACAGGGCTTGTGTGGGTATGTGCACAACATTTGAGTGTGCATGTGTGTTAACATGCTGACTGCCTTATTTGTGACTCAGTCATGGTCTCTCACCAAAGATGTGATTGAGAACAATTTGCACTGACCTTTTAGCAGAGTGCCTCTGAAACCAGCAGTGTTCTGGCCAACACATTACAAAGCCCAAAGATATAGACTCTTACTAAATCATGCTGCATTCATTTTGCATGCGGCAGTAAATGAGCATTGATTTGGAGCCAAATCCCTGGTGTTGCTGCTTGTTGAATAAAACACCTTCATTATTGATAACAGAGCCAAACAGAGACAAAATAGATCAAGCAATGTCTAATTTATATCACTTATTTATAATTTGTGTTCAAATACCCCAGTCTGGTTGTGGGAAAATGAATACCAATTGATAATAAAACCTACAAAATACTCAATCTTCAGTTTTGGCCATTAAAGGCAATATATTTTTTACTCAGTACACTATAATACTGGTGAATACAAGTATAAAAAAAAAATCAATTTTGTTTGCGCAACTTTGAACAGATCTTTTTGATTTTTCAGTAGTCAGAGCCAAAGCAGTGGCTGTATCTGAATGTCAGCCCTAACCACTATATAACCACTGTATAGGGCACTATATATTGGTCACGCCATTTAAAATGAGTGTCCAAATGTTTTGTTGATGAAAAAGAAGTGGACTTAAAATTTCCCACAATGTACTTTGGAAAGTAGTGATCATCCATGGTCACTAGATGAGCAGATATATCCCCGGATTTGTTGTCACAAGGCCTACTGTCGCCTACGGCTGTCCCTACCAGACAACAGTAGTAAATAACAAAGATGGTGCATGCACTGTGCAGGAAGGTGGAGTTACATGACCAACAGGGAGCGAAAAGTAGTGATCATCCTTCCGAATGGTCAGTTAATTGAGTTTGCTCTACATAGTGATAAAGGGATTTAGGGGTTAGGCAGATGTTTGGAGACCGCCACTGAGAAATAAGCTGATGTCCAGGTCCTCCAGGCCAGCAGAAGTCCACCAATAACTTTGCATTCAGAACACTTTAAATATGATGTAATATATCAAGATTAAGGCCAATCCCAAACTGGCCCTTAACACTGCCTCCTGGCACTAAGTCCCCATTTGTGCATTCCTGTGGAGGGTCCGCCACAGTTCTGCATCTTCGTCACATTGACAGAAAATCACAAGCTAGGAAAGAGAGAAAAAATTTTTAACTAATTCTAAAATGGAATTTTTTCTCTGAAATAGTTTTATTTGACCAAATAAATCTATTTTTAAGAAAGAGGGGAAATATCTGATGTCATGACAACCTATGCTACAACCATTCACATGGGGCAGTCATGTTGCCATAGCAATGACTGTTCACCTTTTCTGGTGGAGGGAAGAGGGTATCCCACTCTGATTTTTACCCTTACACCATCAATCAATGCACCCTCCACAGCTGTGAGTGTGACTTCATTTGGAGTGAAACTCGTTAGTAGACAGGTGTTGCATGGGTGCGCTTTGGTGGTTTCTGAACAGCATGTTCATAAGATTTTACATCAACTTCTAATTTATTTTGATTTTAAGAGGAATGGCATGTATTCTAACTACTTTAAACCAATAACTTATACAAATTCACAGATTTATATATACGAAAACATTTATTACCTCCACCAAGTAGGTTATGTTTGTTAGGAGAGTTTGTGTGAATGTTTGTCTGTTTGTCTACTAAAATATAATTTAAAAGTTATGAAAGGATTTTGATTACATTTTTTTTTTTTTTTACCAGAGGTGCGCCTCATGTTAATGAACAATTCATAATTAAGATAGTGATTTATGGAGGAAACAAGCATTTCACCCCCCTAAACAGCATTGGACTCCAAAAGTCATGATCCAGACGTACGAATTTTGGCTATAGGTGTAAGTCACAATACAAGGCAAATTTTGCCACTTGGCAGAGGTCTGTGCTCTCTTAATGCTTTTCTAGAGATTAATAATGCTGATTGTAACATTTTTCTTTTGGGTTTTCATTTCTAAATATTGTACGGTAAATGTGTCTGTATTTAAAACACCTCATCATTTTCAGTCCAAATGAGAAAGTAGAATAGTTTCATCCTAAACCTTTGCAACACTTTTAACCTTGTCGAAGTCCTATTTTAGTAGGAATAGCCTGTGAACCCAACCTCTGACCCTGGAACCAAACCCTGGCATAGTTACAACTGTTGGTCTTAACAGGATTTATCTGGATCCTGTCTGCTCACAGTGTGAATGCATGCCATATTCTAACATATCAAAAGCAGGAAAAGAGAACGTGATGCAGGAGGGAAGATTGCATTTGAAGAAGACGGAAAACAAATAATGTGTTTTATTCCAAAGACAAAAACCTCTTGTGTTGCTACATAGTATAGTGAGTAGCTGCAGACGCACAACATTTGAACACCAAAGTAACAACAAAAAACAGAATGTTTTTTCTCTTTTTTTCGTTACTCAATTAACCAGATCCTGAAACAATACTGCTCCAAAACAATCTGCTGCAAGTGTAACGGAAAATCTCTTTGAAAATATCTGTTTGAAGGAAATTGCAGCACCTAAAAGTTTAAATTTGGCCATTTTAAATCTAATCTCCACCTTATCATTGGAATATTGTTAGTTTGTTATAATTGTCTTACCTGCAGCAGAGAAACATGATCACATCTCAGTGATCAGATTGGAGAAATATAAAAGAAAACTTTCACACACAAGTAGGGGTCATGGCCTCAAACAAGAGCGAAAGCCTTAAAAAGATGACTTTAGACATTGAAAACACCCTTTAGAAAACCATTTTATGCAGCTCCAGTAAAACCTTATATTAGCTGTTTGCTTGTGCAGGGGAGTTTTGCTTATTTTGGCACTGTTTTCTTAACAGGGGTCAGTGTTATTTCAAAAACAATCACAAGACAGAAGAAATTAGTGATTGCATCTGCAAAAATATTTCTCTTCTGATAAAACAGGAATGAAGAAAGCAACATAAACACAGGAGCAATGGCTATTTACAAAAAAGAAAGAATTCTTCAGTAGAACAGGGGTAGAAAGGGACAGTGGTACTGTGGAGAACCCAAGAGAATAAAGTCTACCTGATGTTACACAACTATATTCGAAGTTTATTTTACTGCTGAGGCTGATATGAGACGAATGCATCAAGGTCACAAGTTTATGGACATCATATTTTTTGTTGAAATGACCAATAGTCTATAATTTGGCTTCCTGAAGTTGATTATTAGTTTACATAGAGAATTTATCAAAGAGGACAGTCTAGGAATGACACTCATGACACTCATAGATTCAACTTTTTTAGCTTGCTGGATATGATGATTGTTGTTAAATATCTTTTATATATGGAATTATCAGTTATTTAAGCAAAAACTCTTTGTACCCTGAACTGATATATTTGCATGCACAAGAAAAAAGCCAACTCATATAAGTTAAAAGTCAAACAGACAACACTAAAACAAAATCATCCTGAATAGTCAAACGATAATTCATACTTTACAGATTCTTGCTTTTTTAACAATTATCCATGTGAAGTAAATTTCATTTGTGAACATTTAATTTTTTTAGTATCCATGCCTTACAAAAATCTACAGATTAAAATGAATGCCATAAATGGTACGACCTAGAGGAAGAAAATTTTGAAAATATATGATAATGTCTAACAAAGTCTGGAATAAAATACCAGAAGGGACAATGTTATTAATCAATAATCAACTAATATTAATTAACCAATATTATGAAATTTAATTTAAGGAAAAAGAATATAATCAGTAAATATGCCACCAGGTTTCGGAAACCATTACAGTAGTTATCCTTGTATGTTCTTGCAACATATTTAGTTATATTTTTACCCAGACCCCAAAGAATTTAGCACATTATATCCTTTTACAACCTGAAAACATTTCTTTTTTATTAGGATTATTTGTGATAGAGCAAAAAAAAAAAAAAAAAAAAAAAAAAAAAAAAAAAACCCAAAAGGAAAGACCTTTTTAAATGTCTTAAAATAAAACATGTATTTGCATTCACTCCTCTTTGCTTTAACCTTAAAAAAAAAAAAATCATGTTTATCCTAATGCCTTCAAATGTCACTTGTAATGTAAATATTTTATTTCAGGTTTAAGCTACAATTAGGTTTTAAAGCTAGGCTTTTAGCATCACAGAGAGCAATTTTAAACATTGCATTCAAAATTTGAAATAATATGTAACAACTTCAAACCTGTCATTGCTTGTCATTGAAACTGCATGCTGTACAGGGAGAGCAATGATCATGGAGGCAGTAATACAATAGGTACTCTGATCGGAAGAGACTAAAATTGTGGAAAACAGCTTACACTGCTCATAACCTTAAACACAAGATTTCCTTGAGAATCTTAATGGAGGGGTTGTTTTTTGCAGCAGTGACAGAGAAGACTGATTCTCATTGAATGAAATTGATGCAGCTAAATACATGCTTATCCTGAAAATACAAACCAAAAAACAAAGCAAAATACAATTAGGAACAGTGATAAACTTGAGGCTACTGTTTTGGTTAATTATGCAGCAACACAAACTAATCAGCCAGAGCTATATAAAATGCTCAGATCAAAGAACGGTTGTGTTAGCAGTGCAAAGTCCACTAAATTAAACTGAGGGTCTTTGGCAAGAATGGAAAAAAGATGCTCATGGATGGGCTTTGATCAAGCTGCCTAAGCCTTAAAAAGAAGAATAGACAAGAACTTTAGTCTGTAGACCAGGGGTCACCAAAGTGGTGCCTGCAGGCACCAAGGGGCCCTTAGAGGCCACATGGGGTGCCCACAGGTTCTCCTGAAAACGGCACAACTCACCAGTGGGCCAAGACAGAAATTTGACTTTATTCTGTCACTCTTCTTTTTCAATCATTTATAAATAATTTCATAATTTTAATCATACAGGGAACATGAGCAGTTATAGAGATTTCAAACTGACAACCACATGAAGAAAATTAGTTGTTAAAAGAAACAATAAAAATATACATAATATGCTTATTATGTATAAAGTTTAGGTGCACGCTGATCCCTCCAGTTCAGTGTTTTTCAACCCTGGTCCTCAAGGCACACTGCTCTGCATGTTTTGGATGTTTCTGAGCTTCAGCACACCTGATTCAGATGATTGCAGTTCAGTAAAGCCTGATAATCTGCTATCAATTGATAACAGGTGTGTGAAAGCTGGGAAACATCTAAAACATGCAGGACAGTGTGCCTTGAGGACCAGGGTTGAAAAAACACTGTTCCAGTTGATGGGTCAGTGTTGGTAGCCCTTCCTATGGCTCAGTATCCATGAAGTATCCCTTAGCCTTTAAACCCCTACTTTAAACCAACAGAGGTGGTAAAGACATAACCCATATAATTATAGCTGTACAGTAGTAGTAGTGAACAGATTTTTTAGAAGCTATAAGCTCAGGGGCACTAACCACAAGTGATATGCACCATTTTATTAGCGATTTTATATTAATAATTTACATGTAAAATCCCTGATAACACATATTTTTTTGTACTGTTGAAAGCTGATGAAAGTTTTGTGGAGTCCCTTTTAAAATGAATGTTTAACAGTGACTCAGTCTTGGCAATAACCTCTTCTTCTATTATCATTCAAGGTTGTTGAACAGATTGATCGTCTCACAGCAAATATCGACCTCAGTGAAGAGGAGTCGTGCAGCGCTCTGGGGTCATCCAATAACCTTCAGGAATCAGCTCCTTCAGGGGACTACAGGTTAGCCCCTCTCCCTCTTCACAAGCCCGCTATGGTTGGGGTATCGTCGCAGAGCGCTGACGAAGACCGCGTCGTGTGCAGAACCAACCCTGTCTCTCCAGTCCACATGGCGTCTGTCGTCAAAACAAGCCACTTCACCCCAGCCGGTCTGCAGAAACATGGTAGCCACAAAAAGCCGAGTGCGAACGGCCACCCACCTAATCTGTATCCCACTGGAAATTCTAAACCCAATGGCCAGATTTGTCCAGAGCCTCAGCCACACACCCTCGACCCTACAGTCATCATTGCCAACAACACTTCCAGTGCAAGAACTCAGAAGCCTCCACCTTACCCTCAAAATGGTCGATGTGGGAAGGGCCCATATCCACCCATTAAGCCTTTAAGGGCCCCTACCCACCCTGCAAAAGGACGTCAGAGCACCAGCATGGTGTGAAGGAGGAGGCGGAGGGGTGGTGGTAGATTGGTGTAGGAACCCCCCCCCTCCCCACTTAAACAGGAGGCCCAGCTGTAGAGATTGGAGCTCAGCAAGGGACCAGACAGGGGAACAATTCACAGTAAGTCCCCTTTTTTCCCCCCCCTTGTTTTTATATATTTTTTTTTACAGTGTTGATGTTTCTGTCTGTGCCTGCAGCTGATGACGTTTGCTCTGTTTACTGGCAGGGTAGGGTTCAAAGTCAGTAAATGAATAGCAGCGTTCCAGCTCCCTGACAAAAAAAAGTGCGTGCGTCTCTGTGTGTGGGCGGCAGAGGAAGGGGAGGGTGTAATATGTCTGCTTTTGTTGATATCACATGATTTCCCAGTCCTTACCACACTACAAAATGTGTCTTCCCTGACCAGGGAAACAGGGATTTATTTCTGAGTTACTTTGCACATGTGGTTATAATCAGGAAGCAGAGTGAGATGATTTTCACTCAGTAAGGTGAAACCCCTCATTTATGATTACCTTTTAGGACTTTCTGACTTAAAAATGATACATTACAGTGGTTTAGACTCAATAAAAATGGGAAACGTGTTTTTAAGATTACACTGCAACTTGTAATGGGTTATAATGTGAAGATGTTCAAGGGTTTGGAAAATACGAGGCACTAAAGCTTATAGTTATTTATAAAGTTTACACATTAATAAATTAATAAACTTAAAACTGTTATATTTTAGTTACGCTGCAGTTCAGCTTCCATTACTTCAAGGAGCAAAGAACAGGCCTGAGCAGAGGTTTTTGGCATAAGAAAACCAAAAACCTGCTTCTTTCTCATCATATGACAGCAAACAAAGCAATACTGTCTTTTCAGGCTGACTTGGAATGGGGTTGAAGAAAGGGAAGTTAGTTTGTTTTCTCTTTCCCTTTTATATTTACTAATGCTTACTGTAACCATAATGACGAAGTGACATCTGGGAAGCTGTGGGTATACCAAAAGTGGGACTTTTGGTATACCTAAAAAAAAACAGACCCCCCCTCAAATAAGTCTAAATGGATGGTGTGCAAGACAAGGGGTGCATGTTTCTGTACTTCCCTCTAGTGGAGAATATCTGTGACTGCAATCTATTTTTCTGGCTTTTCCAAGCTTCACAGTCTGGTTTTAATCACAGAAGTTCTTCAGCCATGTGACAGAGCAGACTAATTCACTCTTTGTACATCTCATATATTCTCATAAAGCATAAAAAAACGCTGCAGCTCCAGATTTTATTTTTATGCTTTCAAGGTTACAGATTTAAGCAATAGCTTTGCAAACATTTCACAGTGTTCCATATTCAGATTACACAAGTGAGAATAGTTCTGTATTATTCCTTTTTCTTTTGTATGTTCAGCATCTCTAAATCCTCCATGCTGTTGGTTCTTTGTAGGCCTGAATCATCTGAATTAGTCACTCCAAGCAGGTTGAATGTTAAAGTGACTAGGAAAAGATATTGCTAAGCAACCTAGCCATGCACAGCAAGTTGTCTCTTAGTCTTTCTTTATTGTCAAATAAAGAATTTCCATTAGAGTCCTTTTGTGTGGTCCCCAGCCTCTGAGTGGGCATCAAGAGAATGAGAAGTTGATTAATTAATTAAAATATGATGCACAGCGTGACCCTGATTAAAAAAACAAAACAAAACATCAACCAAAAGGTTTATTGGTAGAAGATGTGTATAAATCAGATGCTGTTTAAAATCACAATAATAAGATCCACTCTTAGACACGATTTAAAAATAAAAAATAAAAAAGGAAGGGTGATTTATTCAAATTTGAATCAACCTTAGGACATTTTTTTTTTTTTTTATAACTAAATCACCAATCAATACAAATTAAATGAATCTTTTGGAGTTTGTCATGTAAGAGTTTTCCTTAAATACATTTAAATAAATATTTTCTGCCCATGTTAATTGTTTTGGGGACATCCAGCACTGTACACTGCCTCATTTGTTTTCATACACCCTAAACATTTCCCACGTTTTATCATGCTAAAATCAAAAGTTGACAAACTCAAAGCAGTGTATATTTTGGCCATGGAAAGACACTGACACATGGGCTATGAATGTTTTCAGAAGCAGCATCTGAAACATGTTGTTTGGATTTGTATTTAGCCTCTCCAAGCCTTAAAGAGACCCACCTTATCTCTACCAGTTTTGTGCATTTAGAAACATTCTGCATACTGTTCTCTGCTTCATTGCTAAATGTTAAGGCCTTTTTCCCCCTGCATGGGATTTTCCATCTTTTGCAGCTTCTTTTGATTTAATTTTAGTTTAATATTTTCCCTCCCTCTGCTGAAAATGGGAAAACATTGGAAAACAGTCTGTGCAGATTAGTTCTTATTAAAAGAATAACTTTTGAAGTGCTTTTAGAATTTATACTGCCAGAAGAACCCAAATTTGCTTTTACATTTAGTATTTCGTCAAATTAAAGGTATTATTAGATTAAACTGGGTAAAACTCCTGTGGTACTTTAGTACTGAAGATGACGATGCAAGATTTATAGTCTAATTTAGTCTAAAAAGTAAATAAAAAAAACGTGGTGAAACTGTTTGTGCCTGCAAATGATAAGATACCAGGTAAATTCCCAATCCTTATTTTCTCCTTACTGAAGGTATAAAAATTGCTGCTGTCTTAACAAAAGATGCACAACATTTTGACAAGTTTGATAAAAACCTGACTCACAGCAAACCCAAGTGACTCACAAGGACAAACACGTGTCTCACTCTCAGTAAAAAGCTGGTTTGTCTCAAGTGACGTTACTGGAAAAACCTTGGGGAAAAAACAAAGCCTGTGCACAAAACTATGTTTGGCTCAGAGTTTTGTGTTTTTCTGATGTTTGTTTTTCTCCCATTTGTGATTTCTTGATTTTCTTTTTTTGGCAGATGCTGCTGATGCCATCGAGCCAAACTGATGGAAACAGAGTAGGCCTGAAGGTGGGGATATTTCCAAGGAAAAAAACTCAAGCGTTGACCTGCTGCTGTGTTATATTAGCACTGGGGGGCTACCAAACCTCTCTCTGAAATTACCCCGGAAACGTACAACTAAGACAAAGAAGACTAAAATACGAAAAATACATCAACTGAAAGAAAAATGTATTTTCCTATGTATTAGAATTTATTTATTTTAATTCCCAAAATATCTATTTTTATGGCATTTCCAGTAAGGATATTGCTTGAACTAGAGGTGTACAACAAACATTGAGATAATATAAGCTGTAATTAAGCTATTTTTGTATCAGTTTGTTTTTTCTTCTGCTTTGGGAATTTGAAAAGCAGAGATTGAATCTCAATAAATAGAGTTTTGCTGCACTTTTGTCACATAAATTAATCATCTGGCTTGTTCCACGGATGCATCATTGATTACTGAATGTCTAAATGTCTCAATGCTTCAAATCAAATAAAGCGTTGACACCAGCATAAAATAACACCTGTGTTTGTAAAGCTCCTAGCATGTCCTCTGTGGAGGAGTGGTTTTGTTCACACTGCTGAAGCACATCTTTGATGGCGGTGTGTGGTCCGAGGCCAGTTGAGCCGCTTTCACTGTTTGTAACACTGACTTGGCTACACTGTTTGTTTTACATCTGGTCTGAGAATTTCACAGCCTCCTTCTTAGGATCTCTTTCTTCTATTAGGGCCCATTACCTCCTGCAAAGAACCAATCCAGTTGTTCTGTGTCACTAAATGTCCTGGCCCCTTTCAGGATCTCAGTGTGACGACAACAGATACAGGGACAGATACATCTAATTATTGTGTAAGCCACTTTGTTATTGTCAACTAACCGAATGAGAAGCAAATATGTAAAAAGGTGTGAAAAGTTATGATGCAAGTGATTATGTCCTTGCTGTTAATTGGGAGCATGGATGACTGGATGACTAAGAATTTTCACCAGCTTTTATCCAAACAGAGTGGTAGAAATGTAGACCTAAGCCTAGAAGTCTATGCTCATAACTCCCAATCATAAAAAAATCAGTGACTAGTTACTAGTTACTTTCTTGAACTATAGTGTCCAGCACTGCTCACAAGGTAGTAAGGCTATTCACCCATAGCTGGGACAGTGGTTGACGGATGCCAAGACACATCCACATGGTGCTGGGATTCGTCTTGTCTTGTCTCTGGGGCCCAATGTTGCTAAAAGATCCCCTGCAGTTTGGCCTGGGACAGTAAAGTACCCAGTTTGTGTGTCACCACGAGATGGCACTGCTTGGGGTCTTTGTGGTGGAGAGACTATGTACTGGCAGGAGGAGAATCGCACACTGGCTCCTCTTCTCAGCCCAAATGTAGGGACAAGCCAGCTGCAGTAGCTGAATGCAGAGAGCTGCAAGCACAAAGCAGGGTCTTGATACTACTGCAGGAGACACTTCACACACACCTATGTGCATTCACTGGCACACAGACACAAACTTAATTAATTTATTTATTTTTGGCTTTTTTTTATTTATTTATTTTTCTTAATTGTCTATCAATTAATCAGTTTCTTGAGAGCCGGACTGTTATATAAATAACCTGAATTGAAATTGAATTGACAGGGCGTCAATATCCATGGACACAGGGTCTGAAGTGGTTTTCTCAGGGAAGGAGTCTTTTTCGGATCTTGCTTCTTGACGCCTGGACATTTTTCATTTTCGAGGACCAAGGTCATCTCTGTCTTTGAGCTCAGCTGTCAGATACTCCAGCTGTCTTTTATAACTGCCCTCACACCAGGAGTTCAATTGTTGAAGGGAAGTGAGTTGCTGTTGGAGGGCGTCCTTCTCAGCTCTAAGGCTGTTCCTCATTTTTGTCTCTTTATCGAGCTGCTGCTCGAATATATATTTTTTAACTGTTTTAGAGCAAAACAGTTGGTATCATTGTTATTTTTAAGTTCCTGGTACAAACCTTGAACTTTCTCCAGTTCACTTTGCAGAAATTTCTACTATTTCTGTGGATTTCTTTTGCAGGGATCCAAAGTTTTGAGCCATTTTCTGACGGTTGTATTTCTCAGCTCTGAGTTCATTAAAGAGCTGCTGAACAGTCTTTGCTCTTTTCTTGTTCTGCTGTTGACATTTTTCTGCTTTAGTGCAGAAATGTCTGTTTCATATCTGGAGTTTAGTTCTTGGTAAGCAACCTTCATTTGCTCCAACTCAGTCTTATATTTCATGTCATTGTTCACCTTGCAGGCGGTGATCACAGGGCTGAGCATTTCTGGGTCATTAGAGGTTTCAATTCTCATCAGTTTTCCCTTGGTTTCTTTGCCCTTGTTAATCAACATCTCATGGAGACTTTTCTGTCTTTCTAACTCAAATTTTGTATTTTTGAGCTCTTCCTCCAGGGTGGTTACCTTTTGGTTCTCCTCAACCCATTCAGCTTTCTCATTTTCCAAAAGAGAGCTGAGCCTTTGGATTTTATCCTGGGAATGATCATCAAGCTGCTTGTTGTTAACGCAGTGTTTCAAATCTTGTCCAGTTTCCCATCCATACGGCTGATGCCTCCTCCCACCGTTGTAGTAACGCTGCTTAAGATGCAGCATTTTTACTCGAAAAACTATTGTTCAAGTTTGTCTCATATATACATATATATATATATATATACAGTACACATATATTATATGTATATATGTATAAAACCATATTACAGATTAAGATGGATTTTGTGTTTGAGAACCAAAGTTTATCTTGAAGAATTTGGAATGTAATCAAATGAACTTTCCACTAATTAATAGCAATTTCAATGTTTTCAAACCAATTCACAATGCAAATCCATGGATGTTTTATTCAATAATTTGCTTAATCAGGAACCAGTAACCTGTAGTTAAATGATTCTTTACCCTCTTTGAAATAGCTAGCAGGCAACAGACATGAGGATTCCATTAAATAACTTATGGTCATTATTTGGTTATCGAAAAGTAATGAGCAAATGAGAAAACACATGAGCGCTTAGCTCTGAAAATCAGAGAAATGTGTTGCAAAAGGTCTGTTTTGCAGCAATTCGGTTATGAAATGTTAAGCATCATGACTTATCCTTGGTCATTCTGGTTATCTGGGCCTTTTGGGCCTAGCGCCACAGTGTGGTCCTCTTCCAATGTGAACCCCCCTGGCAGCTCTACAGAAAGAGAGAGAAATACTCTCTGCTGTGATTTTTTTGCTGTTCTCAGCTCCGTGGGGGACCATGGCACACCTCATTGGGAGGAGTCCTGTGGAGCCAGTTGGCTGAGAGAAGGTTGCAGAGCAGAGAAGAAAGGTCCCATAGCTGTTTTATGAGCAAAACTGCATCTTCTTCTCCAGTGAACATGTTTAGGTGGACCATTGATATTGGTTCTCAGTGTCCTAAATTAATATCATGGTTTATGTCACAACTCCACAATCCTTTGCATGACAGGATGTACAGATACAGCCCACCTCACTCAGTTTAAAGAAAATGTAATACATTCAATTAATTAAGATTAAAATGTGTTAAAAGAATTAATGCATTTTTATACTTACTAAAATCCACAGCAGGAACCTTTCAATTAAATTTCAAATCAATTCAGGTTAGTTTATTTCTATGGCGCCAATTCACAAAACATGTCATTTTAAGGCACTTTACAGTTCACTAGATGCGGAAATATGGGTTTTCATGAGCTGTATGCCAAAATCATCCATATTAAGACAATAAAAGACCTGAAATATTTCAGTTATGTGTGCAATGAATCAAAAAAATATATAAATGTTGAAGTTTTATCATTACATTATGGAAAATAATTAACTTTAACACAACATGCTAATATTTTGAGATGGACCTGTATATCTGTAGGCAAAACAATAGTTTAAACTGGGAAAATACTTGTTAGCTTCAAAAAATTGTGAGTTCATATAGGACAAAAAATGAATCTGACACACCAAGGGATTTTCAAACACAGCTTCCTGCAGGAGGAGTAAGGCTGCCTGCTCACATTTCAGGACCTTTCTGCCCCCCACCAGAACAGCAGAGTCTTTTATTAACAGATCACAAGCAAATGGATGGGTCTTAGGACAGAAGACCCTGTAATGTTTATCTAGCTGGATGCAGGTCATAAAACAGCATGACCCTGCTTTATGACCAACTGGCTGGAGGCAGGTCATAAAGTGAAATGACCCTGAAATAAACAAAATTGCCCCTCCTGACTGAATCACAAGACAGAATGTAGCATCTTATTTCTTCAATGTTTTATATGCACACATTAACTTTATAATCATAATTGAATAAACATAACAATACTGAAAAAGCTGCTGAAAGAGCCACATTTATCTGCTTACTCATTTTGCATTCACCAGCTCTCCATATAAATCTTTAGATGCCAATGTCTACAATCTACATTGTTATTCGGCCTTTTGAAACTAAAGACATTTTCATAAAGTACTTAAGGATTGAATTAAGGTTCCTTTTTACAGCTCTGTGTTTTGTGAAAGGACCGATGTAACTCATGGTTTAGAGGGTCAATCCATCTGAGTGACTTTCCTGAGGTGGCATCCTGGCAAGCACCTCAGCGGTGGCTGGTGGAGTTTTCTCAAGGGGGGTCTATAACTTTAAAGTAGACATATACCAAAAACCAATCAAATTTATACTAAGGTATCACACCAGCATATCTGTCATGATTCTTTCTAAGGCTCGGACCCACATGCAATGAAGCCAAACAGAGAGACACAATATAAAAGTTCAACGGGATTTATTGAAGTGTATATTGAGTTCGGTGCAGAGTTCCTCCGAACTCTGCTCAGCCGGAGACTGGAAGACGAAGGGAAGACAGACTGTTAGGATTAAGGCTCAGTGGGAAATTGGAGTTGTCAATCTTGAAGGAGAGAATTTGTTGCTACTCACGTTTCCAGAGAAGAAGAGACACTTAAACTTCAGTCTGTTTGTTGGTCTTTCAGAGAAAGTTTGATTCGGTGGAGGGCGGAACAGGGTTTACCCAGAACTCGGACAGAGTGGAATAATGCAGCAGCTGGTTGCAACTCAGTTTTCCTGAGGTACTTGAACGGGTCGTGGTGAAGATGACTTCCTTACTCAGTGAGATCTCAGTGTGCTCAAAGGTGGCTGGATCCAAACCTCCTGTTTGGAATCCGTCGCTCAGTGTAAGACTCAGTTGATCCCACTTGGGAGGAGGCGGTCCAAAAAGGTCCAGTTTGCAGGAAGGCTTCCTGCCGAAAGGCAAAGAACAAACAAGGTTTAGTCTCAGGGAGAAACAAGCACTCAGTAAAACTCTATGTGATCTCAGCTTGACTAGAGGACAAAACTCAGATTAGACTCAGCATAAACAAGGCTTGGCTAGAGTACCACAAACTGGCAAACACTCTGGCATCGAAGTAGTGGCAACCAGCGGCTTAAGAGCAGTCCGGTGATGAGGCAACAGGTTGCAGGTGTGAGAGGAGGCAAACCGGAGCCAGGCGCCTCCTGGTGGTGAAAAGGAGAAAAC